TCATGATTTTATCAGATCACCAATGTTTTTACTATTTGTTCAATCTACTCATGATTTTATCAGACCACCAATGTTTTTACTATTTGTTCAATCTACTCATTATGATTTTATCAGATCACCAATGTATTTACTATTTGTTCAACCTACTCATTATAATTTTATCAGACTATTTTTACTATTTTCTGATGTTAGTTTGATGTGACATGTGGAGTTTAAAATAAAAATGTCATCAATCATTATATGTTATTTTTAATCTGTCCATATTGAGTGATTACATTTTAGGGTTAATAATTAAAACCATAATTTTCAGACGATGAGGATCAAGCTGCAACCTCCTTCTGCCACAGATTTGCCACCTTACAACCCTATTCTACCCCCAGCAGCCATCACTCAAGTAATGCTGCTGGCAAACCCAAATAAAGTAAGTTAACTTCTATCAATCTACAATTCATCTTTTCGTTAAGAAATATTGAATAAAGAAATGTACCGTAGTTTAAGTTATTAGTTCGATCGGCTCCACTAATTGTGATATAAAGCGGGTTGTTTCAGCTTCTTGTTTCTTTTCATACTAAGTTACTAGAGTGTTTTATACATGAATTGAAGAAAGTTTATCAAAACATTCTGAAAATATCAAGGTTCTGGTTTTGGAAGATGCAGGTGTACTGTATATTAGGTTTAACATCTTGTTATACCAGAAGAGAAAGTTACAAAGTGAATGACATGTTTTTAGACTTGATTAACCCTTTTGAGACGGGTCACGGGTGAAAGGCCATGTCATCTCATTTGTTGACTCGCATTCAAAATTTTATTGAACTACTATTTCATGAATTTATATCAATAAGTTTGGTATCAAACTGTAAATTATAATTCAAATTTTAGTACTACATATTATTAAATTTCTTAATCTAAAAGCAAATATTAAAAAACACAGATAAACATTGATTTTTATGTGTCACATGGTATGTTGAATGCAGCACTGGTTCAGATAAGATGTTTGTGATGTCTAAATACTAAGTCTATAGTTTCTTACAAAATAGAAACTCAGATTACTGACATTGACAAGCTAGAATATAAAATAAAAACGTCTTATCTTTCCTATTTGTTAAGATGTGGCTCATGTAATAAATCAAACACAGTGGCACACCGCCCACCTCTTTCCATTTTTGGAAATGCTTCCTTATATACACTTACTTCTATATATGACATGAATAACCAATTTGAAGTTCAGAATGCCCCTCTAGTGGCTTTCTCAGCTAATTTAACGGGCTTGGATGCCATTTCTTTCTTTCTTTTGAATCAATATTTCAACGAGGTAGGGTGTGTCTTTAGTCTGCTCAAAATTTCATATGTTTTAGACTAAAATACATCTTAGTTACTAAACTTGATAAATGGTAGTGGAATTCTATGGTATTGATGTAGTAATTTATAATTTGTTTGGTTATTCAACTATATATATAAAACCTAAAAAAAATATTTTGTTTGATATCCTCCACGTTCAATATTTTGAAAGGCTTAGCAACCTACATCAAGTAGCAACCGAGTACAAAGATCATAACTAGAAGAGATAATTGTTTGCTTTACTTCTTTATTTACTCATCTGTGTTTTAAGAAAAATATGTTTAAGAACTTATTTCAAAATAGAAATACTCTCTATGTATAATAATGGAAATGTGACTGTATTTT